AAACCCGCCGCCCGCAGTTATAAGCTGTCCCAAACGGGCCCTTAATGTGTCAATGATTTTTGAAAGTAGATAGAAAATCAAAATTTCTAAGTTTAGCTACAATGATTACTTATGCCTTAGTGTTAAGCCTATTTACTAGAGTTGATCATGATGAGCTATGACATTCTTAAGGCAAAATTGAAGTAATTTTTTATTAAGTTCACTACCACAAATTAATAAAACTAAATTGAAAATTATGGTGTTACTTGAAGAGAAGTAACATTTAGGATTGAAGGATTTTGATATGTCATGTAGCATGCTCAATTTCCTTTACAATTAACACTTATTTTTTTTTATGAAATTTCACTTTAAAGCCGGTACATTTGTGTTTTCCTTATAGGTCTAACAGGTAGGAGGGTTGGAGTTGAGATGAAGTGGAATAGAGACAAAATTGAACACTTGGGGAACAATATGGTTCCGACACACTAGCGCCTAGTGCTAGAGTTGGGTGCCAGACTTCGACGTCAAGGCGCTTCAACCTAGGGCCTTGGCACCAACCTAGTGGTGCCTAGGCGCCATATTTCACTAGGCAGACAGAGCCTTTGGCGCCTAGGAACCAGCCCTGTGGCGCCTAGGCACCAGAACTACTCGGGGTAGTGTCTGTAGTTATATCAACACGAATTTGGGAATTAAGAGGCTACGGATGCAGTTCAAGCAAGCACCTCCAAGGAAGGCAGCAAAGGGGAGTTTAGAGTTAGGTTTTACTTTTTCTTCATTTTCTTAGAGAGATTGGAGAGTGATTTAAGAGAATTTTGTAAGGAAATACTTTCAGCAGTGTAGCGAGCATTTGATGATCACTTGCGAAGGAGTTTCTACTACTTTTCTCAAGGAGAAAATTAAATGTTGCATTCTATATTATCTTGTACTATTTGTAAGCTCATTTTCTATGAATTTTTTTTATTATAAGATGATGAATTGTAATGTTTTCTTCATGCACTATGAGTAGTTCCTCAATAAATTTCTCTTGTGATGAATTAGTTGGATGATTAGGATATTATGATGCTTTTAGAATAGATTTTTATTCATTAAAGTGATGGTTTTCCTTTGTACTTAGTTTGTTCATCGTTCTAGCCAAATGATAAGTTAAAATTAATTGTGAACCCATAAAGACTTCAGAGAGCTATTCCATGAACAACTAGGAGGAATCACATTGTATTAGTGGGTGAAGGAAAAGTAGTCCATAAGGTAAAATAAATAGATAAGGATATATACATAAATGGGTTTAAATTAGGGTTTCTAGGGTGATAGCAGAAACACTAACCATGTTGAACCAAACTTTTCTATGTACTCAGAAGAGGGTGAAAAATAAGATTGCTCCCACTTGTCACTAGCTACAACTTCTATTCTAAGGGTTCCATTCCTAAAGACAATTTCTATTCTAAGTGTTCCATTTTTACACACTATTGATGTCAATACAAGAGAAGGGTAGTTTTATATCTTGATTTTCCCACTTTATTTAGCTTTAGTAGAATTAACTTAAGAGCAAATTAATAGGATTAGCGATAATTTAATAGGACTAGTAAACACAACTTAAACCAACTTTACTTCCAAGCTAAGACTCATTATAATAGGCTAGAATTTTCTTAAGCTCAATGCCCACATTCTCTGTGAGATCGATAACACGAACTCAATAATACGATATTACTGGTAGGATGCATATACTTGTGTGAAATTCCTAGTGTAAATTTCACGTAAACCGGAAAAGGTATCAAACTTTTGACACCGTTGCGAGAGACAAAGGTGTAGTGTCACATTGCTGCACAAATCAAGTTCCAGAATTGATAATACCCATTTAAGATTACAAGCAGTACATCCATAGGCACCTCAGGAGACCACCACTAACCATTGTGGTTTGAAGGGGGGTGGGTGGAGAGGGTTTAAACCACATAAATATCGTGTCATGTTTCTATTTTTGTTTTGTTCTTAATTTTGCATTGCAGTTAAAATTGAACAAATATGTAAAATAAATTTCAAAAAAATTTTAATTAAGTTTAAAATATTAAAAAAAAATTTATAAACCCAATTCACCCCCCGCCTAGGTGTTTTAATTGTCTTCCATAGACATAAAATATAATTCAATAGATTTGAATTAAGTTATGGTCCCATTAAAAGATTGGCATTGACATATAAACAATAACTGTGCCCAAAACCTTATACATTGAGCAATCTATACATTAGGGGTGAAAAAATTAGGTTTACTAAAATTCTTACCTAATTAAGCATATATTTTAGTGAGAAGAGTTCATCTCAACATTTATTAAAAGAAGCAATCTTATGTTTAATACTTCTAAAGAGAAAACTAGAGATGAAACAAATTTGAAAAATATTGAAATCCCAAAATATGGCCCAAAACCAGTTGAACCAAATAATTTAGGATAACTCATCCAACCCTGTGTCCATCTTCTTAATAGTCATGTAAAAGGGAATGTATGAGCAAAGACAACCACATCATCACTAGGGCCAGTTGGACAAGCCCTAAGGGTCTCCTCAAATGCGAGTATCATATGGATGGCCTTAAATTTCTTTAATGCACTCACTATCCTACACATGTTCTAAGAAATTTGAATTCTCAACTATTGTATGCTCAACCTGGCATTTTTTATAATCATTTATGAAATAAAAAACTCTTCCCAAAGAACATAATATATCTGTAAGAAAATGCAAGCCATTATCACTATTTTCTAGTGATCCTAAATCAAACATGATTTAATCACAAACACTTACACATTTTATAAAATTTATACTTTTATAGAGATATGTCAAGCCACAATTACCAGTAAAGCTTTGCCCATCTCATTTACCTCTCGTCGAATCTACCACATTTCTAATCATTAATGATTAAGATAATTTTTTTTTTTTTATCTAGCGTCTGAATTATTCTTCTTTTAAATAAGTTATAAATGTTTTTTTTTTCCCAAGCTACTTTGTATTATTCGATAGGTGTTCTAGCTTGATTTACTGTTAGATCTTTACACATAAAATAATCACTTTATTAATGTTAATTTATTCTTATAGTAGATTTAACCCCCTCAAAATTGAGACTATTTCCACCTCTGATCAACACTGCAGTTCTGATATCAAGATATATGAATGATAAACTGAAATCATTGATTAAGGACATCACTAATGGCGACTAATGCTAAACTAACGCTTTCCGACTATAGAAGCCTCAAACTAAGCAACAAGCAAACCAATCAACTCAATCCAAGGACAACATGATGTGATCATATTTCAATCATGGAGGGATGCAATGTGCATCATTGTTATATATTATGAATAATATTCCAAGGACAGTAATGTTCACGAAAAATTGTAGTAGCCATCATTCATTTACTTTATGATGCTTTGGTCATTCTGAATTAAATAGAAAACCTGAGATTTTTTAGTTTACTTCGCTGGATTAAGAAATAAATCATAACCCCCATTTGTGCCGCAATAGTTACTTGCATAACCTACACTGCACTTTTTTTATGAAAGCCATCTTCCATAAGATCTACCTCAAATTTTGCTCGCACCCCAACCAATACCATCAAGACTTGCATCTTCTCTTGCACCACACGTCTATTGTAAAACTCTCATCACAGTCATCTCATGCAAATACTTCTCTGTATGTTATTCACTATCCCAATATTGACAATAATTTTTGCTTGGGTTTAATGTTTATATCTTCTTCAGACAATGGAGAAAGGATAGTATTTTGTAGCTTTATAATCTTATTTAAGATTATTCAAATCTACCACGGCCACATGATTTTCCCTTATTGGGTTTCCACATAAACCCCATTTAGTAGGACAAAGGATTTTTGTTGTTGTTGTTGTTGCTGTTGTTGGGTTTCCGAATAATATATGCCATTATTCTTTGATTCATTTAATTGCATGTATGTGCGACAAAAATGTATGAAATTGGAATTAATACAATAATTTTGCTTGATTTTATCAGAGAATAAGATTTTATAAGTTCCAATCATATGAGCACTTAAAACCAATAATATGGAAATTTTACATTCAATAAACAATATTGTTTATATCAATTTGTACAATACCTTTAACTTCCAACATCAATACATGCACACCAAATGATAATGTTTCACATTGTCTTACATACATTCCATGAAATCTCTCTGCAGCGACTGTTTATATGTTTGTGATTTTGTTCAATAATAGGATGTTGAGAACCTTTTAATTTTTTTCAAGTTATATCATTTAATACTGATTAAGTATCTTAATTTTTACCATATATCTGTTGGAAAATTTTAAATTCCACGACGCCTATTGAATTCACTTTTCTCAGCCTTACAGTTAAAATCAAGCTAAGTTATATATTTAACAGCACATTATCTCTAATCAACTGTTGAGAAATCGACCACTAATGCATAGAAATTTTCACCTTGCAGAGAACTGCGTAACTGATACAGTTGCATGGGTTGCAGAAGAAGACCATGCAGAGGAGGATGTCTCACCTCGAGCCTGAGTTGAGGAATCTATAAAAATAGGCCTAGTAGGCTCAATATTAGAATCTCCTTGGCTTAGCAGCAAGACTACAACTTCAGACATTGTTGGCCTCACAGCCACCATAGACTGAGTGCAAAGGAGAGCAACTTTCATTACTCTCTTCATTTCTTCTAGCTCAATGTCACTAGGATTCATAGATTTATCAATCAATTCTATCATATCATCTTCCTCATAAAGCTTCCACACCTGTTTGGAAAAACAAAGAGAGAGAGAGAGATGTCAGATTTTAAACTTATGCCAGCAATCTCAGAAAGTTTGCTCTTCAATAAATGCTGTTTATGATGTGCTAGTCTAGATATAATTAGCTTCAAATTTAAGAGTTGAGCCAAAATTATGACTTATAAAATTGTATGAATAAAGACATAACACTGAGTGCAGGGTTAGCATCAGGTGAATGGGGCAAATCATCAAAATAAATATAGCCTACCACTGATATACCAAGTGCAAGTCAACTTCAGAATGAATTTTCATTTTACAACCAGTAAGCTAATCCCAGAAATTAAATTGAAAATGGTTGTTCAAAGCAATAGTATTGGAGAAAAGTAGAGATTCGTCCTTGATTTCTTATGTGGTCCAGCTATTAAGTGAGTACAATGCCTATTAAATAAAATTTTAGATTTACCCATTCTAGAAGATACTGATTAATGGGTTCGAGCTTCGGATTGCTGTTCCTCCGTCCGCTGATGATTTCAAGGATAACAACGCCAAAGCTGTATGTATCAACCTTTTCGGTTAATTGACCGTGTATAGCATACTCGGGTGCCGTATAACCCCTGTCCAAAAGTATTTAGATAAGAAAAGAAGTAAGAATCAACAAGACAAATAGTAATTTTCTAAGCATGAGGAAAATTAAGGCAATTTATACATACAATGTTCCAGCAAATTTTGTGCTAAGATGACTCTGATCGCTGGGTAGGAGTCTTACAAGCCCAAAATCAGCAATTTTTGGTTGAAAATTTTCATCAAGGAGTATGTTGCTTGGTTTTATATCACGATGTATAATGCAGACATGGAATTCTTGATGCAAATATGAAATACCCTTAGCCATGCCAACTATGATATCAAATCTCTGTTTCCAGCTAAGCGACTCATTTTTTTCGCCTGCAAAGAATAAGGGAAAATAAAAAATAAAAAGTCCAATGTCAGAAGTCATCGCCGGTGCATTATGCAGCATCTAGAGAAAAAAGCTAATGATTTAGGACACTTTTGGGCAAAGGGTTCCAAATGAAACATAATGTTGCATGTATGAAAATACACAATTTGGAATGGAAATTTGCAATTTGAAATACTACAAAACATTTGATATAACCAAAAGGTATGAATAAATTTACGCCAAACATAATCTAATGATTATTTAAAAAAAAAATAATGTTAAAAGGGAACCATAAAAGTAATAACACAAATGAGATTTAAGCCGAAATCAAAAAGGATAATTTGTATTAAATTTTAAAATAAAGAACAATTGTATGAACCAACAATAACATATTTAGGCAAAAAAAAACAAGAAAACATGCATCTCGTAGAGTGAAAACTTAGACTTCACACCAATGCAAAGAGATAACATACCTCAGAATTTGATAATCGATTCTTTAATATGCATAAGGAAATCAACATCTAACTAAGCGTGCAAAATTGAAAAGAATCTGAAATTTTATTGAGCTAGGAACTATCTCCCTAAAACATACGTCATATTATATAGTTATAGACATCGCATCACTTGTTCTCTAAGCAAAACATGGGTTTTAAACCATACAATTTCAGCGAACATGAGAAATTCTCAATATAATTTCGACAAGTACAAAAAACAAAAGACAGAATAAACTAATATGAATGCATGCATGCAAATGAGCATTTGTATGTGCGTGTGAAATTTAGAAATAATGATTGCATAAGTCGATGAGCCAAGTTAACAAAAAATAAAATAAAAATTGTACAGTAGTTGATATTTATTCACTAGCATACTCTTAGCAATGAGAAAGAATATCCATGTTTATCATTCACAAAATAAAGGTGATAGGCTATTTTCTTTAAAATCAAGCAAGCCTCGTAACCTGCGAATTATCACGAATTTAAAGTTCAGATTAATGAAATTTGTCATGCACATTGTAACTAAGAGTTGCAATATTGGCAAAGGAAAAAAAATGGTACAATGGATGATGTTAATGATATGTTTACCCAAGTTGAAATCATCTCACCAAGGAAGGTGAACTATATCAATATAAGCCTTAAAAAAATGATAGATCTAACATTCCTTAGAGCATGATGGTTAATTCCTAGATGTAAAAAGAAAGTATTACTGTATTATTTATAATAAAAATTTGATAAAATCCAAGGTTGTATATGCTCAGAAGTTCCTTCATTTCCAGCTTACTAATGATTGAGTAATCAACTATTTTAGAAAGAAGAGATGAAGAGATGATAAAATGCTAATGTAAGATTCTCAAAAGAAAAAAAAAATTGTGGGGATAATGGTCCCATCATGAAGATAGATTATATTTGAAAATTTTCCAAAGCGAACACATCAAGCTTTACTAGAGAGGTCCACATTGTGCCAACAAGGAAATTTCAATAAAATGAATGTTCCCTAAAAGTCAAAAAATAAAACTTAGCTCAATGGACATGATAAGTCAAGCAAAAAATGCAAAGGCATGTGAGAGTATTAGTTGACTTTCACTTAAAATAATAGAAGCAAATATTGTGTAGAAATACCATATGGTTGACCCTCTCTCTGTTCCATATGTTTAAGCTTTTGGATTTTAAAAGAGTTAGTCATTGGTGTAACAGGCCCAACTTTGGTTTCTCTTTGATTTAAACTCCCTAGCAAGTCATATTAGAGATGATAGTTATAATGTTCAAGCAATTTGAGGCACCTATGGATTTCAGGAAAGACATATAACATGAACGATGATGGTTCAAAAGCAAGACTCTCAAATAGAAAATATACGATTAACTCTTAATGCATGATTCCAACGACAAGGCATCTCAACTTAAGGGAAAATTTCTGAAGCACTTGAGAATATTGAGTCTTGTCCCTTACCAAATGGTTGAAAAAATATTTTTGTGCAGAAATACAAAAGTGGTTGATCCTTAACCAAAGGATTTAGGTTTTAGTTAAAATTATATTATAACCATAACATATTCGGCCTAATTTAGGCAACATTTTGGCTAACCCCACCCTAACAAAAATGGTGAGAAAGACATTTACATGACACCCACAAAGAAATGTGCATGCAATAATTCAAACTATCAGTTTCTTTAGTAAGTGAAAAAAAAAAGTTGTTACCAAATAAGAATTTATCAAGACTTCCATTTGCCATGTATTCATAAACAAGCAGCAAGTCATTGCGACTGCTACAACAACCAAGCAATCGAACCAAGTTTCGATGGTTAACATTGCTTATAAGCTTCACTTCACTCTTGAAACTTGCTTTTGTGGATTCAGATTGAACTATTGCCAACCTTTTCACTGCTACTATCTTGCCATTTTTCAATGTACCCTGTAAGAAAAAAATTGCTTTAAGCATCCAAACTAAAAGCAAACTAAGATTATCACAATGATGACAGTTTACAAGGAAGTAATATGATAGAAATTCATTTACGGGTCAAATGAATTAAGATTTTTCTCATGGAATTTAAACCCATCAAAAGACAAATGCCAGTGTAAAGCTAGTCAAGTTTTAGTTGTTCTATGAAAACATTAGATGGTTTACCTTGTAAACCTCTCCAAAACCTCCTTCCCCTAGTTTATTTTCTTTGCTGAAATTTTTTGTTGCAGATTTTAGATCACTGTAACGGAAACTCACAGGACCTCGTAGCTCTGTTGCTCCCAATATATCACCTATAAGAAAAGAACTTATATAGTAAAAGTTTTATAAATGCATAAAAAGAGATTAGATCATAAAAAAGTCTTAGTACCACATTTGGTATATGGATGTCCGTTCATTTGTCTATTTATTGATAGTACTAATGGTTTTCATCTTCAAATTTAGCTTTCTAGATTTCACAGAAAAGTGAGGAAATTACCAGTGCTTTATGCATCACAAACAAATTGAATCAACGAAATGCTGAATTCACCATAATCATTAAAACATTATTTCTTAAAACATTTTTACATAATTTATTGGTAAAACTTCACCTTTCTTGAGATGCTCATATTTTTTTGTCATTTTCACATTACTAGGTCATAGGTTTTTTGTACTTCATGATTCAGATTATAAGTAGTTGATACTAGAGATAATTCCTCGCAACAAAACTTATGCCAATTCCTAAGGTTCATTCACAAGGATAGCCCAACTACGATATTGGAAACTTGGTGTTTGAAATCACAAAGCCTTTAATTGTCATACATGCCAAACTAAGATCGCATGGCATTAGAAATAGCTATAAAACTTGACATAAAATTTAGAGTTAAACAACAAGAAATGTCCAATATTTTTTTTTTTCTCTATAAAATTGCTGCTCGATCTAGATTATTATTTGTTCTCACAGTTTTTTATGATTAACATTTTAATTCATATTTATAATAAGTTAATAAGAAATTGCTACTCGATGTTGATTATTTGTTAGCCTCACAGTTTTCTACGTCAATAATTTTATTCATATGTACTATATGAAATTGTTTATTGATGTAGATTACAATTTGGCCTCAAAATATTATTATGTTGACAAATTTTTTCATGTTTTTTTTTTATTTATTATAAATTATTACTTGATCTCACAATTTTCATAATAAATGAGGATCGCATAAATACTATGATAGCAACAAGGCATCATGTACAGACAACCAGTATAAATAGTTCTTTTTATATTTCATCATCTATGAAAATTTTAAATAGATTTTTAGGTAGAACACTGAAAAATATCAAAATTTATAGCTCCTCATATCTATATGTACTCTTTTCCACAAAATTACAATATTTAATATCCAATAATGAATGTCCTACATATCTTCTATATCAAAATAATTGAACAAACATTTCGACTTACGCCACAAAAGTAACAACCACTTAAATATAAAGTTGAATGAAGTAGCCAGGTTAGTAATGGAGAGAAACAACTTAGGGAATACAATTTCCCTTTTCATAAATGTCTTTCCTAAAAAATTGCACTTAGATAATGAAAATAAAACCAATCATCTTAAATATAAAAAATGTCCTACATATCTTCTATATCAAAATAATTGACCAAACAATTCGACATAAGCCACAAATGTAACAACCACTTAAATATAAAGTTGAATGAAGTAGCCAGGTTAGTAATGGAGAGGAACAACTTAGGAAATACAATTTCCCTTTACATAAATGTCTTTCCTTAAAAATTGCACTTAGATAATGAAAATAAGACTTTAGGTAATAGTATAATGGCATCTGAAACCATGATTTGTTTATGAAAGATGAACTTAGATTATGACAATAATGTTTTAGAAAATAAATCCTATTCAAGTGCCATATTCTAATATATCATTACGCTCATGTAAATGATAGCATATGTCCTTCTCTAGAGAAAGGAAAGTTTTGGACACGCACCCATCACACAAGAATCTAAGAGCACAAAATGGGGTTACTTTTGAAAGGATTCAAGGTCTAATGGTTAAAAAAGAATGAATGTTTCTCAAACGTGATGAGTTTAAGCCATATGTTCTAGAATTTATGCCTTGTCATTCCGCCCAACTCCACCCACGCACCCCAGCCGCGCGCCCAACCAAAATGCAAATATTAGTAACAATAATGAAAGTTAAAGCTCAGGAACTTGAAACTGTAGAAATAAAAAAATAATAATAATAAAAATTGCAAATTCCCAACCCTTCAGCTATGACTCTAATTACATTTATTAAACAGCTAAATCTAACAAGATAATCAACTTTTCAAAAGAAGACGTTTTCAATTTAAAATAATCATAACTAACGAAGCCAAATGAAAAAGAGTAATCTTATATCCACACCAATTTCAGAAATATGAATCAAGCAATCCCAATTACTCGCAAGCGAAGCATTACTCCTCATACAAACGTAAAACCAATCTCCAAAACTTAATGGCACACAGGAAAAGCACTGAAACGTATACGAAAGAGCCAACTCCTTACCTTTCCAATCATCCTCCCGCCGCCTAGACTTTTTGATCAACAGAAAAGTCAGAAAACTCAAGATCAATAACGCCACGAATGCTCCAACCACGCCGCCAACAATGGACCGTGTACTCTTGCTCGCTCCCCCTGATAGGCATTCAACACATCATTCGCTTAATCACAACCAAGCATGATCACATTCAAGTTCCTAGCTACATTTCTTAATCCAATCAGTCACTACCTGACACACCCAAATAATGCGAAAGGTCCACAGTCTGATTTTCAGAGAAGAACGACATATTAGAGTACCTCATAAAGCACCCAGCATCCACCGCTCGACCGTTCTCAGCCGGCAAACATCCCTGTATATTCGTATAAGCAACCTGTAAGCACTGCACGCAGGCATCTTCGCTCAACGTATCCGCACACTGCGCCGTACCATACACGCCATCTCCCTTCGCCGCCGCAGAATAGTTAGCGATTTTTGGCACCGCCAAGCTCAAATCACCTGTCAACGCTGTCGCCGCCGCGGCGAACCCAGCCAAAGTGGCGGAGCCGCTGCTGCAAACCGCGGTGTTTCCGGGGAGAGTTCCCTGGTCGAAAAACGGTGCGCTTTCGTAGCGAAGAGTGCAACCGTCGAAGATGACGCGGCCGCCAGTGCCGGCGCCGCAGCGGTGGGTGAAGGAGACAGCGGCAGCGAAGCACGCAAGGCAATCAGAAAGAGAAAGGTATGGCCGACAGAAGAAGAGAGCGTAGAGGGGTGCGGCGGATTGTGGAAGCTCCGAGGTGGTCGAAAGGTTGCCGGCGGCGGAAGAGGATATTTTGGAGCGGAGGATGGAGAAGGTGTTGTTGAGGTTGGATAAGAAGAGGGAGGTGTTGCTGGCATTGTAAGTGCTGCAGCCAATGTTGAGAAGGTTGGTCTGGGGGTCAGATATGATGGGTTCTGTATTCCATAGGAGGAGGAGGAAGACGATGGTGTGAGGAAGCATTTTGGTTCAGTCGAAAGAGAGACGTGGGGATGCCGGCTAAGTAGCGAGAGGTGCGGCGATGCATCTTGCACAAAAATAAAATAAGATGAAATAAGAAGTCAGGCATTTGCCGTATCAGATGTTGGGGTTTTTGTAAATGTCAACGGATTGGCCCAAAAAGCTTTGGAGAAAATGATGCAAGCATCCCGAACAAGACGACCCGAAATTTCACACCAGAACAGAGCGCCAATTGGGATATTCCGTTAATTATTTTAAGAGAGTTTACATGTGCCATTTGTCAAAGTTTTGAACCTTTATTATAAGTAAAAATAAATTTAGACGGTAAAGATTTTAATGATTAAGGTTATAAATTTAAATTTAAAACTTATCTTTTGGTATATATCATTTTTTAGAAAATTAACTAAAAAAAGCAAGAGAACAAAACAAAAACGTCAGTTCAAATGTTCATATAACATTCTATGCCATTCTGTTATATTTTTATAAAAAACTATTAATTTGGCAATTTCTATTGAGCTATTCGGTTGCACCTTAAATCAAGATTAAGCCTTTAAGCTCACCCAAATAACATCTCAATCTAAGATAAATTTATATAAAATATAACTTCGACTTGCTTGAGATCACTATCTATTTTTTTTTTTTTTTTGGTCTTAATCTGTTTTATAGTTATTTTGCTTGATATTTTCAATTTTTACAAAATGTGTTTTGTATTGTTATGACTTAAATATTTTTTAAAACAAAATGTATGATATATATTTGGTTGGAAATTTTTTATTTTTTTAGGGAAAAAAAGTATACTTTGAATTCAAGTGTGTTCCAACATTAACTTCTATCGCTTAAGGCATATATAATGCCGTTCATGCTTGGCTAACAAGGTAGAATGCTGGCGGCTAGCGGGGACGAGGGCAGGTGTACTAGGCAATTTTTTTTTTGTCTTTTAAAAACAAGCAAAAAATTTTTTCTTAATGTTTTAAAATTAGAAATATTTTCCTAAAATATAAAAAATGGAAATAAAATAAAAAGCAGAAAGGTAAACATTGTTTTCATGTTTATTACCTATTTTTTGTTTTAAAAAATTAAAAATAAAATATAAAATTTAATTCTCATCATCCCATTCATGTATGATCTCGTTGATTAAAAGTGTTGGATTTAAAATGTTGGCAAAATACAACTTCTAGTGTCATTTAAGTTCATCAAATGTGTTGGATTCTAAATTTTTATTTTTTTGTGTGGGATAGAATCGAGGCGGGTTTATTAGACATTAAACAATAAGCTGTAGGATTTTTTACTTACAAATCGATCGAAATATTATTATTTATATATTTCACTCATCAAAAGTTAATATCATAAAATTCACATTTCCGTTAATAAGTTTATTATGGGTTTGCGGATGCAACCGAGAGAGAGGCGTGTGGGAAAGGAGTCCTGACTCCTGAGCGCGTGCATGGGTTGGTTTACTGGCTGGTCAGGTGTCAAGTGGCAATCGAGAGGAGAAACGCTGCCATTGTTCACGAAAGCAGTGTTGTTAATGAAAATATTTAAGTGTGAATTTTTTTATATTAACTTTTTGGGTGTGGAATATGTAAATAAAAATATATTGGTTGCTATATACGTAAAAACCCCCAAGTTGTGTCATTGGGTGATCGAGATTGTTCTATAGAAAATATTGTATTCAAGGAAAATGCAAATGAAGTAACACCGATTATGAATTTCAAAAACATTTAAATATACATTTAATATTATAATATCTGTGAGGCTAGCATCAAGTTTTTAGTTTAATTCGCTGCTTTGTAGAGCTTGTAAATTATTTTAATAAAAGCTCGAGATAGATCTATCCAACCATAAAATGATTATATATCAACTATGACTAGCGGTGTAAATGAGCCGAACACGAGTTAGTCCAGACTCAGCTCATGTTCGGCTTGTTTATATTTTGAGCTCAAAAAGTGTGTTCGTGTTCGGCTCATTTTCTTAGTGAGTCGAACACGAACTGTTCATGAACAAAGAGCCATTTTGACAAACTCTAATCACGTAGCTATAAGATGTTAGGGCGGTAAGATTTAAAAATTATAGTTTATATTAAAACATCATTTGAATCTAATTTAATAATTTATATTCTATTTTCTTAATTAATACTTTTAATTGATTATAAATATTTGTGGCCTTGTAGTCAATAATTTTTTTAAAAATACTACTCATCAATATATATA